TTAACAAACCCTCAAGATTTACCAAGTACAGAACAGAACACATACCTCGTACGAAACTGCCCATTTACCATCACGCAGAGGTTTGTGGTAATAATTCATGTTTCCAATATAAATGCTTTTATCTCCAAACTTCTTTGCTTCCTTAATCACAGAGTCAACCAGAACAAATGTATCATCATCACATTTCATAATATATTTTGCTGCCATTGTACGGATCTGTGACCAAAAACATACAGGTGTCTAGGACTTAAGAGTTCACAACTAAGAAACAATACATTGCAGTTAGTTTTTCATATGCACTAAATTTTATGTTTGCTCAAACTCGAATTCTGTGTCAGATATAAAATAGGCAATATCGGATCAATTGAGTGCTCACCCCATATTCAGAAATGGCAACTGTCTTCAGTACAACTAGGTCATAGTTATCCAGGTAAGGAACAATAACAATATCACCGAAATACTCTGCTTCCTTTTTCAGTTCGATGTTTACTTCCTTTCTTCCACTCTGAAAAAAAATGTAAACATATCAAGCATGGGGAATTTCTGAAGGAAAGAATCAGCCCCTCCTTTCTCTACCTTACCAGTGCTACGAAAAAACGAGCAACAATTTTCGAAGACTTGATTAACTTATGCTGCATCCAGGACTTCCTCACTGCCATCCTCTCAGCAAAATGATTACCAGCAGAGAGGATGCCTATAAAAAGCTCTACATCTCCTTCGGGAAGTGGTGGCACCTTCCATTTACTCAATCTCTCAAGGTGCTTTTGTGGATCAAAACTTGGATGTGAATTAGGCAAGGAAGCAGCAAAAACAGAGTGCACATCAAGGTCACCCTTTAGAGATAACCCAGTAGCATCCTCGAGCACAAATCCCTGTAAATGCCATCAAAAAACTTATAGGGCATCGTATATTTCCATCGAACCATTAAGCCAATAACAAGATGTTACTCACAGTTCGATAAGGAAAAGAGGTAATATGACGCCCATCAACATTGACATGGTAACCCTCCAATCCAGCCCTCAATGTGAGAACAAATAACTTTCCCTCAGCAAAAGGGTACTGCCAATCAAGTGCCACCTTCTTCTTCCTTCCTATCAATCTGTTTAGCCACCATGTAGCCTTCGATTCTTCCGAGCCATCGTCGTCGTCCCGAATCCACTTCTCGCATTTAACTTCTCCATCAACTACCCAAAGAAAGAAGTAAACAATCAGAAAACCAATAAAAAAACATTAAATTTCTTTTAAAACACCCTCTCCCCCACAAGATCATAAAGAAACATCTTAACCAACTTCACTACCTACAATTATTAAGAAATTAAAGTAAACAACAATTTCAACCTTTTCTCAACCTAAATTCTCCTTTGACATGGCAAAGAGTCAAATGCAACAAAAAGTATGAAAAAAAACATTAAAAAGGTAACCTGTTTCTTCATCAGCTCTAGACTTCCACCCTTCGCACCTCATAGCCGATCCCCATTGCATCCGATAACAAGTATTCTGCTCGATCACGGGCTTCCCGCTCCAATCCCCTTTCAATCTCGGGTTGAAATGAAGGATCCGGGGTGGATCCTCTCCGTCCACCGTCTTCAAACCTTGCAATTCCATCATGAACTGCGATACCATCACTGACTCATCCCCTTCTTTTAAGACTGCGATTTTCGGGTCATTTTCTGCATGCGCCCAATGCGGCATTCCAACCACCGTAATATGAGAACCTAATGTTAACCCGCAAGGGAGCACCAAGATCCTTCCCTGGTTCACGAACTCCGAACCGGATAAGGAAATTGAATCCGGACATGACTCGGTTTGATTTTTGTTTTGTTGTTCGGGTTTTGAATCGGATTTCTTTGACCCGATTGGAGGTCGTCCCAGAGTCTCCTACCGACAACGAAAGCGTGCCGTGCGGTTTTGTGTAGCACCGACAACTCGCCTTTAGAACCGACGCTATCGAAAGAGCTCTCATTAAAAAGGAGACCCGAAACTTCCTTGAGCTCCCGCACTTTCCCCTCCGGTGTCCGGCCTCCGGGACTGCGGACACGATTCGGGTCGTTGGCGGGCCGAGCTGGCGCAGTTTTGTAACTAAAGTCCTCTTCGCTCTCGAGAATCAAAGGCCTCGGCAATGTGTCAGTGAAGAACCCACCCGAACCGGTTCTCAAAACCAACGGGATTTCGAAGCTCACGAACAAAAGGTAGAGAAACAAAACCCCAAACAAGAACTGAAGCATCCCGAGCCGACTCGGGTACGTTAATGACTCAAATTTTGATCGCTTCATCATTTACTCAAAAAAGGGGATAAAACCTGAAACTTTCTCAGGTTTGGCTTATGCTCGTGAACTAGAAAAATGGATACGAGAAGAACCCTAACTTTGATCAACAAGAAAAGGGATTGGGTTTTTCGAGTGAAAGGGAAAGCAGCATTGGGAGAAGTCAGGCCATAAGGTTTTTGAAAGAGAAAGAGGGGAAGGTTCAAAGATGAAAGTAAAGTAACGAAAGTGCTTTTAAGTAATGTATTTATTATTGTTGTTTTGTAACTCCGACAAAACCTTCAAACTTAATGGCCAACATTTCAAAATTTATTCGTTTTCTCTCCCCCCATGAATTAAATCCCTCACTACTCTTTTTTTTCTTCTCAATGATTCGTTTTAATTAATTCGGGTCGACTGTATAGTATATTTAACTTTAATAAATAAGTTTTTAAATAGAAAATTTATATATACATAAAAACTCAAATTTAATATCTTATTTAAATGATATTTAATTATTTATCACTTAAACCAACAACAGTAAGTAAATCTCTCACTTTCCTTGTTTTTAAACTCATTTCTTTTACTTTTCTCCTTAGAGAAATTTCAAAACGCATAGTTCAGGATATATAATATTTAAGGTTGAGTATTTGGTTAAATCAAATAAAAATTATGAGTTATTCGAATTGAAGATTTTTATTTTATAATTTAAATTTTATTTATAATATTTTTTGAATTAATTTGAGTTTATTAAATTCAAATAAAGTCAAGTTATTTGAGTTTATGTTTAAATTTAATTATAAATATTTATACTATTATGATTCAAATTGGTTCTAATTTAAAAATATTTCTATAATCATATATATTATACATTTAGATTTTTTTTTCATAAATGATATGCATATACTATACACAGTTGAAGGGTTTGATTCAAATTTAAAAATTAATCTACTAATTACTAAAATTTTCAAGTTATTTGAGTCTCATTTTATAATTTAAATTTTATTTAAAAATTTTCTAAATAAAACCAGATTTATAAAATTATAAATTAAATCAAATAAAATTAAAATTTGTAATATCAAACTAAATTAAAAATATTTATTTTCTTAAAAATATTTAGGGTTGAGCATTCGAGTCTTATTATTATTATTATGCCATGCACCACATGTTCGGAAACATTGGTCTACGGATCGCATCAAGTCGTTGGGTCAGGTCAACTTAGAATGATAAGAAGTCAACAAATATTAATTAAAGCTTAAGTAATAATATCATTAATAAACTTCCGTTAAACTTGAATAATATCTTAATATTCAAATGTTTTTTCAAAAAATTAAAGTCTAACAATTAACCCGTATTTAAATTAGAACACTAGTCGGATTAAATTCATAAAATTAAAAGCAAATGAGTTATTTTTCTAAAAAAAAATGAAATTGAATTGTATAACAAATGAATGCACCATCGGGTTTGATTCAAGTGGTAAGCAGTTTAATATCGCTTAAATAAGATCTGGAGTTCAAGTCACCGTATATACAAAAATTCATATTAGAAGACTCACCTATCAAAATAAGATGTTATAATACATGTTAATCCGGATTAATCAAAACGAAACTTTATAATCGAGAGGTTGAAAAAAAAATGTATAATAAGACTTGCGTATGGGTCGTTGCTGGTTGGTATGTCTTTTTCTTTTATTTGTAATTTAAATATTTAATCGAAATGAAAATTACCATATAGATTTTCATCTCCCTTTATCAAATAATTAACAACTTCAAGGAATGATAACGTAGTCAATTTTTTTCTTTAACAGTTAATTGAATAGATTTTTTTTTAAAAATTATTAACTAAATTGATTTGATCAATTTTTAAATTAATTATAATTTGTTATAATTTTTTAGTTACTTTAATTTAGTTTAATTTTGAAATTTTAATAAGTTTATTGTAGTTAGAAAAACTGAACTTGATTCTTAACGGATTTAGATTTAATATATATTTAATATTTTCCATTACTTTGATTAATTAATTAATTTTGAATCGAAATAATTGATAATTGAACTTTAAAAAAATTATTAATCATTAACCGACACAACATCTAATTACCCAGTTGATTAATCAAACAAAATTTTAATTTGATCAATTAATTTAATTAAAATCAAACAATAAAAACTATAGATTAAAATGACTGATACAACAATATATCAAAATTATAATGTAAAATTCAACACTTCAATAATTAAGCTCTCACATTTAACCGGTTAATTAAATTATTTATCTTTATTCTTTCATATTTTTTTAGATCATGAGTTTTAAACTTACGCAGAACATTGTCATCTTTATTCTCTCATAACTTTATTGAAGAAAGAATTTGTCTACTATATTTTTTTAGATTAATTCGGAATAAGTACAAAGTAGTATTTGTTCAAAAATAATTCTCAACTATATGACATTAATTATTTGAATCTTTAATATTATCGGTACTCAAATCTAAAATCTCAAAAAATAATAATAATTTTTTTTACTATCTAATACCAGACTTCGTGATTTGTATACTATGTATATATTAAAAAAGATATCATGTTATTGTGGTTGGTAATAAGGTGCAAAGAAGTAGTAGGTAAAAGATTTCAAATAGTAGTAATTGTCTACCTGCCCTTCCCCATAGCTTCCTTGACCTTTCTTTTGTCGGTTGAGTGCTTCAATAAAGTTATCGTCTCTTTCTTCATCAATCATCATCTCTATATATAATCCACAGTCCACACTTCTACGTTGAAGCAAACAAGCCGATTTCCATATATTTGTGCTTCCGACCATGGCGACGAGTGAAGTGAAAGTTCTGGGTTCGTGGCCGAGTCCATATGCAATGAGGCCGAGGATCGCCCTTAACATCAAATCAGTCGACTATGTACATGTTGACGAGAAGTTATGGGAAGGCAAAAGCCAGCTTCTTCTCCAGTCAAACCCCGTTTACAAGAAAATCCCAGTCCTCATTCATGGCGATCGTAAGCCGATCTGCGAATCTCTCGTTATCGTACAGTACATCGACGAGACTTGGTCTGCCGGTCCTTCTATCCTTCCTTCTGATCCTTACGAACGCTCCGTCGCTCGTTTTTGGGCTGCATATCTTGACGATAAGGTAATCCGTATTTCGCACTTGGAAACAAGTTTGTTTGCTTTTTGGGTAGGTGCTCTAGCTGAGTTGAGTCAACTCGATTAGATTTCAATTAACGAATAATTCGAGTTTGCTTAATTCGACCTTAAACTTAAATCGAGTATTGAATGGAATTTGAGTCGAACAATTTTGGAATCGAACATGACTAAACTCGTGATGGATTTGCCCGATAAACACTCTAATAGGGGTTAAGTACTTGAGTTGTTTTGTTGTGCAGTGGTTCCCGGCGGCGAAAAGCGTTGGGATCGCTCAAGGAGAGGAAGCGAAGAAAGCGGCGATAGCGCAGGTGGAAGAAGGGCTGGCGTTGATGGAAGGAGCGTTCGGCGATTGTAGCAAAGGGAAATGTTTATTTGGTGGGGATGAAATCGGGTACCTTGATATTGCTTTCGGGAGCTTCTTGGGATGGCTTAGAGTGACGGAGATGTTCAATGGGATGAAGCTGCTTGATGAGGACAAGACTCCTGGTCTGGTTCACTGGGCCGATAGATTCTGCTCCCATGGCTCCGTCAAGGATGTTATGCCGGATACCGACAAGCTTGCGGAGTTTGGGAAGATGGTTATTGCCAAAATAAGAGCCGCTGCCGGTGCTACTGAAATGCATTGAAATTAACACTGAAAGGTTCTTGAAGTACTAAATCAATATTGTACGTGCTTCTTCACTTGTTTGTGATAATAAAAGTTTTTAAGTTTTTTATGAATCAATTTACCTCGATATATAAAACAATCGTTATTAACTCTTATAGATATGGGTTTAAATACTAATGATGAAAAGAATGGTTTCAACATTTGGTATGTTTATTTCACCGAAAACAGTTTACGGAAAATGAAATCTGAAAAATATTTTACAGAAATGTAAATTAACTTTCAGAAAATATTTTTCAGTGTTTGATGATGGCAAAATCAACGAGATAATGCGTTGAAATTTTTTTTTTCACGAGATAGTGGGATCGCCAGATTAATTGCTCAGGTGGTGTCCTCTACAGTCCCGGGGGTAGGTCGCCATGCACGCCCAGCGACCTACCAGGTCGCCATGCACGCCCAGCGACCTACCAGCACGCCCAGAGCACGCCCAACGACCTCCATGCACGCCCATGCACGCCCAACGACCTCCATGCACGCCCAGCTCGCCAAAGGTCACCATGCAATGCACGCCCAACGACCTCCATGCACGCCCAGCTCGCCAAAGGTCACCATGCAGTCCATGCTTGGACTGAACAACGTTGGGCCATGCAGGATAGGTAGCCATACAATCCTCTCCACTTGCAGCTGCTCAGGAGAACCTATTCCTTCTGCTCCTCGCGTGATTCCTCTTACATCTGCTCAGGAGACTCATGCATGCAGCTGTAATAGCTGTATTATTGCAGCATGATTTGAGCTGCAAAGTGTCATAGCTTCGTGCCCTAGCTTCTAGCCATAGCTGCTCCCTCATGCCATAGCTTCGAGACTGTTCACTCTTGTTATCATAGCTGTATTGGTGCAACATAAAATCAGCTGTGTTGTATTATTGCAGCGTTCAACGGTTGAAAAATTTACAGCTTTCAACGTGAATTATACAGCTCAAATTGATTGCAGCTTACCAACCGTTGAAATATCATTATATATTGGATATGAGGGGTTTAGGGTAGAATCATAAGAAAGAAAGAAAATTTGGCGAGAGAAAGGAAATGAAAGGAAAAGAAGAAGAAGAGGAAATGGAGATAAAGGCTCAAACATCGTTTGTGAGGTAATTTTTAATTGTTTAATTTAGTTTATTAATATGAAATTATGAAATAATTAGTTTGTTAGTTTAGGGTTTAGGATAAAATAGAAATTTAGTTAATTAGTTTGTTAGTATAAATTATAGTTTGTTAGTTTAAGTTATATTATATTAATTTGTTAGTTTAAGTTATATATTAGATTATATAAAAAATTAGTTAATTAGTTTCTTAGTTTAAGTTATTAAATGTAAAAAATATTTAATTAATTTGTTAGTGTGTTTAAACGTATATTAGGTTGTTTGTTGAAGTTTAAGTTAAAATATTAAAAAAGTTAATTAGTGCTTAATTAGTTTGTTAGTTTGTTATTTTAACTAAATATATTATAATAAAGAAATAGTTTATTAGTTTAAGTTATATTATAATATATTAGATTATATAAATTTAATTTTTTAATTTATTGTTGTTTAAAGAAATAATTTTTTTACACGTACAGAGCATTATTCCACAACATTTTCCACGTACATATTGATTCGAAGAAAGAAACAATAAAGGAAAGGAAAGGAAATGAGCAACAACTTTTTCACGATTGTCCATTATAATGGACAGATTATGGAAAATGAGATCGGAGTAGTTTTTCAGTCTGAAAAACCAATAAATATGATGTTCAAAAAAGACATCACATTTATAGAAATGAAGCATAAGATAGAAAGAAAAATTCGAGTTGCAGTTGATGGTTTGAGGTATAGGTTTATGATATGCCCCAACCCAGTCAAATATGCTGCAGTTCCACTTGAAGAAGATGATGATATTGGAACCATGGTTCGATTACATGAGTTAACCAATATAGCAGTTATTGAGTTATTTGTTGATGTGCATAACATATGTGATGTTCCTGGGTCATCAAGAGGTGTGGCTCAAAATCCATCTGAAATGACTTTATATAGTCAGTTTGAGGAGCCGACATACAGGTTCCCGAACAGTTTTATGGCACTATTGGAAAGTGTAAATGAAGTCGGGGGGACATCTGCAACAGAAGAGTGTGAGACGAGAAACATACCGGAATTGGTTGTTGATATTGACGCTGAAAATCAATGGGGGGAAATTCACGATGATTCAAGCGAAGATGAAGAAACCGAAGAACCCGTTTTGGGCGGCGACGAAAATATTTTTGGTGGAGGTGCAATTGATGAAGTTCCGGCACCGTATGAAGCTACTCCTCACATGTACGAGATAGACTATGATGCGATGAGGGCACCTGAATTCCCATACATGCCACATTTACCTCCATACCAAATGACTGCATCATTCGATAATTCTGGTGAATTTTCAGTTGGGGTGCAATTCAGAGGAAAAAATGAAGCTACCCTGGCGATTAAAGAGTACTGCATAAAATGCCATGTTGATATCCATGTTGCAGAGTCCAACCAGAAAACCCTATACGCGAAGTGTGTAAAATATGGCCTGGAGTGCAAGTGGAAGATCAAAGTGTCGAAAAATCAAAGGCACGATGTTTGGGTCATCACGAGGTACAATGGTCCGCACACGTGTTTGCGAAACTTCATCGAACAAGACCACCGACTATTGGACTCCGATGTAATATGTGAATACGTGAAGGCGATGGTTGAAAAGGATCCAAGGATATCTTGTTCAGTGTTAGCTGCATCTATTCGAAGCCAATTTGGATATCAAGTAAAATATGGCAAGGTGTGGAATGCGAAGATGAAGGCAATGAAGCTGACGTATGGAGATTGGGATACATCGTACAATGAGCTACCACATTTGCTACAAGCAATGAAGCGATTTATCCCAGGAACCATAGTGAAGTCTCAAACCATGCCCGCATATGACGAAGAAGGTCAACTTCTGCCAGGGAAGAAATATTTCATAGACTATTTTGGGCATTCAAGGCATGTATTGAAGGATTTCCATTTTGTAAACGTATGATCCAAGTAGATGGTAGTATGGTCAATATAGTTGCATGGTCAATATAGGCATTTTGATGGCAGTTGCTCAAGATGGTGAGCGAAATATCTTCCCAATTGCATTCGCCATTGTTGAGGGAGAGACAACAGAGGCTTGGGATTTCTTTCTGACCAATCTACGTCAATATGTCGTTCGTGAAGATGGAGTTTGCTTGATATCCGATAGAGGAACGGGTATTTTGGCGGCAATTGAACGACCAGGAAGTCGTTGGATACCTCCGTATGCATATCCGACATATTGTATCCGTCATATTGGCAAGAATAGTATCGACCAACTTCATAACGCACACATTCGTAGCGAGATAGTCAGCATGGGTAAGTTTTATTTTCAATATTTGTGCATTTTTACATGGTTTTTTTAATTGCGGTTTAACACAGTATATTATGAAACAGGATACGAACTACGTCGACCAAATTTTGACAAGAGATTGGAGAATTTGAAGGTATTTTACGATGATCAGCGTGTTTGGAAGTGGGCTTCAAAAATACCGCGGGAAAAATGGTCACAAGCATACGATGAATGTCGGAGATACGGACATATGACCACAAACCTTGCTGAGGCCATTAATTCGGTACTAAAAGGTACACGCCATCTCCCAATTACGAGTGTGATGAAAGAGACGTGCTTTAGATATTAATGATTTGATAGTAATGATTTAGTAATGATTAGTAATAATGAAATTATTATTAATTTTTAATGATTTGATAGTAATGTTTTAGTAATGATTAGTAATAATGAAATTATTATTAATTTTTAATGATTTGATATTAATGATTTAGTAATGATTAGTAATAATGAAATTATTATTAATATTTAATGATTTGATATTAATGATTTAGTAATGATTAGTAATAATGAAATTATTATTAATTTTTAATGATTTGATAGTAATGATTAGTAATGATTAGTAATAATAATTTATTATTAATATTTAATGATTTGATAGTAATGATTAGTAATAATAATTTATTATTAATATTTAATGATTTGATATTAATAATTTAGTAATGATTTGATAGTAATGATTTACGACTTGAACAATGAACAATGTTTGGTTCAATTAACCATATTTTCGTTACATATCTAGTAATGAAATTATAATAATGATTTGATACTAAAAATCATTATAAATATGTCGAATTTGTTAATGTTTGAAAAAACTAGTCTAATGTCAATATTAAATTTGTAACAAATAACAAACTAGTTTACAATTGTTGCCGATGTCGGGGTGTTGTTGAATGATAATGTTGGGGCGGACGTCTGATGCGTTGTGGCCGTTGCGGTTGCTCAGGAGTATGGTACCCATCCTCCTCATTCGTTGGGGGCATTTGAACTGACATGTGTTCAAAGTCATACGTCGACGAAAACATGGGAGAGTAGATGGATGCATCAGGCTGCACAAACTCTGGTATGTATGCATCGCCGAACGGTTGTGGTGCGCTATTATCCACATCGGTCATTTCCGCTTCAGGTTGTTGAGATGAACTCCCACTCCCACTTGGTAGAGAGTATTCAGCTTTACCAAATCTTTTCTTAAACCTCAAAAATTGTCGCCTCTCTACAATTGTTGTCAAGAATGGCTTTCCATTATCCAAAAAATAAGCAAGGTAAGCCGAAGTCTCAAAATTAAAGTCGTCGTCTTGAATGTCGTCAAGAGTTGGCATGAATGAAGCCCTATTGTTCCAAACATTAATGTAGATTGCATGATTCTCAACCCAATTAACATTTTCTTTACGACGACCATCAAATCTGTGCAGCTGGTTATGCGTCTCAACCCAATTCACCTGACGACGACCATCTAAGATTTGGAGGAGGTCATGATCCCATGGACTCCGCGGAATAGGTTGGTGGAAGTGGAATTGCCTCAACACTCTATCCCCAAATTGGATCTCAACAAACGCAAAATTGATCAATGGTGTAACAGCACACCAATATTGAAACCCATCTAAAATATCG